GTAGATGCACTTATGGATCCGCATCGCACATGCGGGCAGGTGAGTTCTGAGTTCCCGTCTGCGCCTGCCCACTGGGTGAGCCCGGGTAAGTGCAAGAGAAAGACACGAGGAGGATAAGGAGAAGAGCTGGGGGTGTTCAATAGAAGGGCCACTGCTGATGAAAGGAATGGGAAGGAAGAGAAGGTGGGCAGGGGCGGGAGGAAGGAGACTTAAGGAACGGAGAGAAAGAGCTAAAAGCGAGCACCCAGGTGTCTACGCAATGCAGCCAACTCAGCCCAAATGTGGTCAGAGAGAACGGGAGGGAAAGGGGAGAGAAGAGGTACAGGAAGAAAAGCAGAAAGGACAGGAGAGGAGGAAGGTGACCGAAGAAGGGGTAGCGGGGCGAGGCAGCCGGCAGGATCGCCATATGCTCCAGAAGGCACCGGGCCCAGGCTTCGCAGCTGTTCTCGCCTGAGCCTCTATGAGCGACAGCTGGCTTGGCGCAGGACCCTACCCCAGGGCAGCCTGCTCTGCAGCCACTCCCCTGCCACGAGCTGGCAGCCACCCAAGCCCAGCCCATAGCACAGGGAGGGTGACCCAGGCTGGAGCAGGTGATCCAGACCAGCATGCCACCTTGGAGAGTTTACAGAGAGAAGGGATCTCCGTCCACAAAGAGGCATGGGCTGTCTTCATGTCCAGGCGCCCTTGCAAAACCCAACTGCCATGCAGGACACAAATGTGTACACCACGTGTCCCTCTCCATGTCCCTATATGTCCTGCGAACACCCCTGTCCCAACAACATGAGGCATCACTTGAACAAAGCAAGGTCGGTTTGGGCCACTGCGTCCTGAAGCACTCACAGCTCCTGGGCTGGGCTCTACAGTCTTCCTTTCTGTCTTTGAATTTGCTGCGTGGGATCTTCTGGCCAAGTGGGCCAAGTGGGTCAGCTGGGCTCCCGCAGCCTGAACCCCGAATAGCAATAGCTGGACTCAGACACTGCGAGTTGTGCAGAGCTTAAAGCTCCCTTCTGCAAACTGGCTCTGCCATCGTAGTCCCCACCCTATGGGTGTGAGGGGTGTTGATGTGTTTGTGGGTGTGTATCTGGGATGTATTTGCATGTCTGTGTGTCTCTGGGTGTCATGAGGCACCCAACAAGGTCAGATGCTGGGCGTGCTGAGCCAAGTGACAGTTCTCAGGTGTGACATGTGGAGCCCTGAGTGTCAAGAAAAGTCTCATAGGTGTCCTTCAACTGCCCTCTTTCCCATCCTTCACCAGCTCAAATGCCACCTCCTCTTTGAAGGCTCCTTGAGACTCTGTGGGAGGGACCACACCCCATCTGTGTTCCCACAGCTCCTGGGCTGAGCCTCTCCCTTTAGTTGGCTTATTACCAGTGATTTCAATCATGCATACAGAACACATGACACAACACCTGCAATGGTGTAATGCCCTGGTGTTCTGGCCTGTGTGATATGCCCTCTCTGAACGTGGGTGGGACCCCTGACTAATAGAATCAGACATCTAGGATCTCTGGAGCCTCTGAAACATTGTAACATCTTCAACATCTGCAAGAATTTTCATCCTGACAGACCATTCCTCGTGCTATCATTCAGGACTTTGGGTTAAAGCGACGTGGATACCTAGAGACACATCACATCTCAAGCCTGGGCTATGACAGGACAGCGGGGCTTCCCCAGCCCCCTCCGCTGCACGGCGCAGCCAGGGACAGCAGGGGGCGCACTTCTCTCTCAACAGCCTTCTCAGGGAGATGTGGCTCCTGGGCTACCAACCTAAGTCCCTAGCACAAAGCCTGGCACATAGTAGGACCACTATCATTGTTTATTGACTGAAGAATAAAGGACTGATAAAATAGCATACAAACCAGGGAGCTGTGCCTGTTTCCATCAGAAAGCCTATTTCACCGGGAACCAGGGAACAGAGGGTGCTGGTCTGCTGGTGACGCAGGAGAGGTAGGAGAAGCCAGACTTCTCTGTGGAGAGAAACCTGTCCTGAGGTGCCTGCTCCTTGAGCAACGTCGTGAGCTGTAGGGACCTGAGTGTCTTTTCCTGGTGGAGAGGGGTGCTGCGGGGAAGTGGCAGAGCTGCATGCTCCAGGCTGCAGTTTAAAAAGAGTGCGCTCCCCATTCCCACTGTCCCTCAAGTGGTGACAGCAGAGAAGGGGACAGGGAGCCTTCAGCTGGTTTGCGGCACAGATTTAAATTCACCTTTGAAATAAGGTGGAACTGGGCACAGGGAACGAGCCCCACCGCAGGCAGCCCAAGAGTTGGGGCTCTCCACACAGAATAGGATCCGAACCCAGCATTAGAGCATGAGGCACAGCTCTGCCCCCCCACCCCCA